CAGGAGTCCCTTTTGAATTTAATCAACGTCTACAGAGATGTCTTCACTTTCTCCCCATCAGAGATCGGGCGCACGAGTGCTGCTCACCACCACATAGATACTGGTGACGCTATCCCGATCAAGCAGGCACCTCGGAGAATTCCGCTCGCTAAGAGGAATGAGGTCACTGAAATGATCCAGGATATGCGAAAACAGGACACCAGTGAGCCCTCATCTAGTCCATGGATCTCACCAGTTGTATTGGTAAAGAAGAAAGATGGGAGCACGAGGTTTTGTGTGAATTATCGTAGACTGAACAACGTCACGAAAAAGGACTCCTACCCTCTTCCTAGGATCGACGACACATTTGATGCAATGGCCGGTGCCTCCTGGTTTTCTACGCTTGATCTCAGGAGCGGCTATTGGCAGGTTGAGGTAAAACACTCAGACCCTGAGAAGACAGCGTTTACCACAGGCGATTGTTTTTTGGCAATTCAAGGTAATGCCATTTGGCCTTTGCAACGCGCCAGCGACTTTCGAGCACCTCATGGACAAGGTTCTTCAAGGCTTGCCCCTCAATGTGTGTCTCGTATACCTTGATGACATATTGGTGCACGGAAAGACTTTTGAAGCTGCTCTTCATCATCTGTCAGACGTCTTTGAGCGCCTAAGACAAGCGAACCTAAAATTGAATCCCAAAAAATGCTCGCTATTCCAGAAAAGAGTTCGGTACTTAGGCCACATTGTCTCTGAGAATGGGATGGAGACAGACCCCGACAAGACGGACTGTATTCGAAACTGGCCCCAACTACACAGTCATCGTGAACTCAAGAGTTTCTTAGGCCTATGTACCTACTACCGACGTTTTGTCAGGAACTTTGCTACCGTGGCCGAACCACTCTATACGTTGACAGAACAAAACGCGAAGTTTCACTGGAACATGCCAGCTGAGGAGGCTTTTCTTCAACTCAAGAATACCCTTACTTCACCTCCTATTCTCGGATTTCCCCATCCGAATCGTCAGTTCGTCCTGGACACGGATGCAAGTAACGTTGGTGTGGGTGCAGTCTTGTCACAGTTAGAGGATGAAACTGAAAGGGTAATTGCGTACTAAAGTCAGGTATTAAAGAAAGCAGAACTAAACTATTGCGTCACAAGAAAGGAACTGTTGGCCGTAGTTAAAGCTGTAGGACATTTTCACCATTATCTCTATGGCAAGCACTTCCTCTTAAGGACCGATCACGCGTCCCTCACCTGGCTTTTGAATTTTAAGAACCCTGAAGGACAAGTTGCAAGGTGGCTAGAGCGTTTACAACAGTACCAATTTAATGTCCAACACCGAGCTGGTAGGAAGCACATAAACGCCGATGCACTCACGCGAAGGCCTTGCTCACGAAAAGATTGCCACCCGTGCCTTGATGCTGAAGCGCACTCCGACCGCAACAGCACGGATCCACCGTCTCAGTCAACGGTCAAGCGGCAGGCAGTGATCACGCATCCATCAACCGATGATGATCCCACTGACTGGAGCGACGAAACCTTGCGTACGCTTCAAAGAGAGGACGACAATATTCGGCTTTTTATACAGTGGAAGCAAGAAGGCGAAAGGCCGTATTGGTACCTGGTTGCACCACACAACCATGTCGTCAAAGCCTACTGGGCTTAATGGGATTCTCTCCTCATACGAAACGGCCTCCTGTTTCGCTGCTGGGAAAACAACGATGGAGTGAACGTTTCCCTTCAACTTGTCCTGCCTCAAGTGCGAGTTAAAACTGTGCTGCAGGAACTCCATGACAGTCCTACCGGCGGACATTTTGGGGTACACAAAACTCTACAGAGAGTGCGTGACAGATTCTACTGGGTTGGCGCCAGCCGTGACGTGCGCGAATGGTGCAGAGGCTGTGACCACTGCACATCGCGCAAAGGACCTCCTTCTCGTTACCGAGGACAGATGAGAACATACAACGTTGGCGTGCCGTTTGAGCGAGTAGCCATTGACGTCGTAGGGCCACTACCATAAACAAGAGAAGGAAATCGGTATCTAATAGTCATTGCAGACTACTTCACAAAGTGGCCAGAAGTTTTCCCTGTTCGTAAGTACGACGCAGCAGCCGTCACTCGAACCTTGCTTACAGACATCGTATCGAGGTACGGAGTGCCCCTAGAAATCCATTCTGATGAGGGGCGCACTTTTGAGTCGCAGACCTTCAAGAATTTGTGCACAGCACTTGGCATAAAGAAAACTAGAACAACACCATTACATCCACAGTCGAACGGTATGGTGGAGAGGCTCAACCGGAGCCTTAAGCAATACCTATCTCTCTTCGTCAACGAGCACCAGGACAACTGGGACGAACTGGTTCCCCTCTTTTTACTTGCCTACCGTTCAGCAGTCCACGCAGTAACAGGGTACACACCATCAATGTTGCTCATGAGGAGAGAGCTAAGAATGCCTGCGGACATTATGTTCGGTACTCCGGCGCCACTACCACGGGAGGCAACACGTGAAAATGTTCACTTAGACCATGCTCTCCATTTGCGTAAGAAATTGGAATGTGTCCATGACTTCGCACGAAGGCATTTACAACTCAGCAGCAGCCATGCAGAGACTCGCTACAACCGAAGCGCATCCAGCCACCAACTGGAACCTGGATATTTGGTGTGGCTATACAGACCAACTAGAACCAAAGGTCGTAGTCCAAAACTACAACGAAACTGGGATGGCCCCTATGAGATCATCAAGAAACTGAACGATGTTGTCTACCGGATCCGCCATGTTAACAACCATAAACCTCAGACAGTCCATTTCGATCGTCTCGCACCATACCACACTAAGTGAACACATGTGCGGGCCTCGGGACGAGAGCCTCTACAGGGAGGGGTGCAGTGTTGTGCAAGACGAAGACTCACACCGTAAAGAGTGTTGTGCAAGACGAAGAATCACACCGTAAAGAGTGTTGTGCAAGACGATGACTTGCAAATACAGGAAGGAAGAAGAAGATGAGAGTGTGCCAGTGAGAAAATGGACGCCATTAAAGGCTGACGGCGAACCTGACGAAACAAAGCCTTCGAATTGCCTTCTGCCATAACAATAGTATTAGCCCCATCATTCGCAAGCTTCCTCCGTAAAATGAAGCAATTGGCTTTCCCAGGTACTGCAGCCCAGCACTGCTGCACGGGCCGTGTGGCTTCGTCTTTTACACCTCAATACCACGTGCTCTCGTGAGAGGCAACACGAATCCACGCGCTCCAGCAGTTTAGCTTTTACGATAGCCATCGAGTAAGAACGCAGCTTCAAAATAGTGGACACTTTAACCAACTTTTTTTTTTTTTTTTCTTAAATTATTTTTGCTTTTTAATATTTATTTGAAGCTTTATTTGTAATTACAGGAAACACTTTTGAAATGTCAAGACAGATGTCAGAACGGCCCTCAACAGAGCAAAACGATATTGACGGAGTTTCCTGGCACTGTATGGAAAGAGCAGGAAGTCGCCTTTTCCGTGGCGATCGCTAATAGATTGATCTCACCAAGCGTTCGGCGCATGCATTAAGCCGCCATAACTTTGGTTCACGGGAGGCTGGCGTGAGTGCTGGACACGGTGCTGGAGCATAGCCTCCTGGCTACGTTCGCGATCGAAAGCGTCGCTGTCGTGGGCCTTCCACGACTGGCCCAATGCTGAGTATGACGTAAGCAAAGGATTTCTCAATGACGGAAATAAGAGTAATGGACCAGTTTCAAGGGGGTTGTTAAAGGGGTGTTGGCAGTGTTCGTTTCAGAGGGCTATCATTTCAAGCTTCCATCATGCTCATTGCGAACACCATCGAGCTTGTTGTTTGCAAGGCAATGACGTCACTAGAGGGAACCAAAGGAGGGCGCAACCAAAACATTTCGCCGCTAATACTCGTGCTCGGCACGCGCAGAGTTCCAGTGAGGCTGTGGCACGTGCAAAAAGGCTAAAGTTTCCTTGTTGCCTTGAGGCAGCGGTGGAGCACCCAAACTGCCTGGTCAGAGCCGTATATGTAGAGAGCTTGACGATTTATTGGGAAGCATAGGAGACAGATCAGGAGGCGCCATTGGCCGAAAGCGGGCTATGCGTGTTCCAGGGCGTCTTCAGAAATTCGAATGTGACCAACCAAAAGCCCGAAATAATACCCTGGCGGTGGTCGCGATAAACAAACTTGATAAGTGCATCGGAGTAACTCTTGGTGACTTAAAATATGGTGCACGTGATGTTTTAAACACAGTCATCCAAAATCACGGTGGAGGTGTACGACCAGCGTTCCGCTAGTCGCACACTTCCACCATGACATAATCTGTTTGTTAGGCGCCGAGGGCCGGGAATCTGCCGACCAAGTGGTCACACTCTGTGCGGGCAAAACAGAGTTGAGCGGCGCATTCATTTCTTACATCTTTCTGCATGATCATGATTGAAACATCACGTACACCCTATTTTGAACCATAAAGGGTTACTACACTTCACTCTTACGCGCTTATTAACACCTTATACCAACATATACCTTGGACCAAAACAGTTTCTCGCTACCACCGCTAGTGGACCCCTTTAGGCTTTTGGTTGGCCAAGGGGCATGCCAAGCCCACTTTTTACGCCTGGTGCACGCCCTGGCTCTGCCCGCGCTTCCCATTGACCAAACTCTCTGCATACACGGGTCTGGCCTTGCGGCGTTGAATCTAGCCGATTTCGGACGCCCAAAGATGTTTTTTCGCTCTTCAGCACCACACAGAAATATAAAAGTTCAGTCAACGTGCCATAAGCAGTGAGAGGCCCAATCGGCTGAGCTTGTACTACCCAAAATGAGGGCGCCACAGTTTGTAACGCTTCAGCGAAGGGGGCCCATTGCGCCCGTTCAGCACTAAGCACCAAAAGGGCGGCGTACAAAAGAAAATTGTGTAAGGGAGACTGTGTGTGTGTGTGTACGTCCGTTATTTATTTTATCTTTGCTTCGTCTAGAACTGCACCGTGGAATTGTCTATATTTGTCGTTCGGACTTGCGTTCGCAGGTTACGCCTGCGTCCACGGGTGCTACGAGGCGTCGCCCACAGGAGCACGGAGGTGACGCTGCTCGGAGACCACAAGCTTTCTCTCCCCGTGGGATTCTCACCAACTGCAGCTCACGGGGACGTGCACACGGATGGCGAAGTGGCCACCGCAAAGGGTGAGTCAAGCCCACTTAGAAGACACGGCCCTGCGTCTTTCCCGCCCCAAGCGTCATCACTAATGGGTCCACGCAACGCGGCCCAGATTACATCAGCATTGCCGTCGGCGCGTCTTGCAGGATGTCACAACGGGCGCGATGCCTGCAATCGTCGACGCTAAGACACGCTTGCCGCTTTGCAGATACTCGTCGAGTTTCGAAGCGTTTGCCGCTTGGGGCGGGACGGGGAGCCACCAAAGATGGCGTCATTCGCAGGCATCGACATCTGGGTGACATGCAAGCACCGTCCCCACTGGAGCACCACAAAGACGTCGCCGGCTATTCTCGCAGTATCACACTTGATCTTTTCAGGCCTCTAAACTGACTCTTGAGCTAGACTCGGTCATATAAAGCTTCTCAAGTACGCAGCCTAAAAGAAAAAGCAGAAGCCATTAAAGAATGTCTCATTAAAGCATACTCCTCGCAACTTCTGAATACATTCAAACTACTCAGTTGATCATTCTGATAAACTCAGGAAGCGCAGAATGTGTCGTGCCTGTATTATACGTGCGTTAGAAAGGGCCGTCCACGCACCCGCGACTCCTTAGAACCGAGTGCCCTAAGGCTCGTTCGCACAGTTGTGTCGGAGTGCGACTGCAACCACTTGCGTCTTGTTAAAGGGCTACTCCACCGATTTTTTCATTGTCTCCGATTTGCTTGAAATTTTGCTAAACTAACCAACAAACATTGCGAAAATAGTATCCCAAATATTAGGTCAAAATATTGCTTTTTCGCGAAGTTATTGAATTTACAGTTTTGGTCCTCACCGTGTTTTTCAAGATCGAAGTCTCTACTGGCAACAATGAAAAAGTGACGTCAGTGGAAGGCAGGGGTTCACTCTTTGGGCTGTAGATTTTGTTTTAAACTGATTCGAAGCAGTTTCATGGTGTCAAAAGAATGCTTGGGAAGCTCGCTGCAGTACCCGTGCTCCAGCACGGAACAAATGATTGGCATATTCTATTTTTTGGCTGCTTGCTGGACTGACAAGCCTGCCTGCCACTGACGTCACGGCCCTGAAAAGCGCGCGTATATTTGAATGTTGGTTTTTGCATCATTTTCATTTGCCGATTTCGCAATAACTATTATGAATTTCGCGATTCTAAATAGCATACCGGAGAGAGTAAAGGCCGGGGAGTCAGAAAATATAGTTAGTTGAGGTAGCTAAAAAAATCGGTGGAGTACCCCTTCAAAGGGGTCCTGCAAGGACTTTTTTTACTAGTTTTCAATTTGCACCGAACCTGAGCGCACTGAACGTAGTAACTTAATGAAACTTTTCTTTTCTCAAATTTCGTTTTATTTTAAAAGTTATAGGCAAATTAAAATTACAAAAACAAACAAAAAATAACCTCCTGATGACGTCCTTGGTCGCTTGAGTGACCGTGAACTGGAGGAGGGGTAGTGAGCTCAGCGAGCGCTCACGGCTGCCGTACTCCGTGTAGACGGCTCGAGAGGGTGCCACTAAAGCATCTTCTGGATAGGCTGTATGAAGCCGGCAGCCAGGCCTCAAAATCTATTCTCTCCAAGTCCTGACCCCTTTAAGGCATGGTTCACAGGGCCCCGTTTTCTTATCTTACGTCGCGTAAGGAAAGCTTACGTTTGGCTTACGTCTCTTTACGCCAGTGGTCACCGGGACATCTGCGCTTCATATCGACCAGATCAAGGCGATATAGCTGGCACGGGACATTCGAAACAGGAATGCTTCGGTGAATTAAATGTAGCGTAAAGGCTGGTTCACACATTTGCAAAGGTTGCGTTCGCATGCAACCGAAACAACCGTAACGACCAAAACACCGTAAAAACCGTGACTCATGGATGGATTCGCGAAGCTACCTCTTGCATCGCTTGCCATGCTGTGTACGGTGAACACTTGTCCCGGTGACTTTGTCGTTACGGTCGGTTCGGTTGCATGCAAACGCAACCGTTGCAAATGTGTGAACAAGCCTTAAGAAATCATCTGAAAACCCGTTGCTCTGTGAACTAAATTCAGTGGATCCTAGTGTAAGACAGCCTTGACACCCCATCCGGTAACGCTACATTCGATGGCGATATGCGTAGCTTTCATTCCGCAGTGAGCAAATACACGCGTCTTGCTTTCTCCGTTGCACGGTGGTCCGTTGACATCCTGTAAAGCCGGGGTCACGCTGCTCAAACATCAGCACAAAAGACAGTCTACAAACACTAGTCACCGCAATATCCGTAGTTCGAATGCCGCGTGCCATGTGTTCTCCTTGATCTAGTTGCCACGCGGCGTTTGAAGCACGGATCTCGCGGTGATTCGCGTTCGAATCTGTATGCAGACTGCCTTTTGCACGACGTATAAGTGGTGCGACCCCGGGCTTAAAGTCGCGGATACACTGCTAATACATATTACAAAAATCAGTCACTGTCTGAGGCAATTGTCCGCAGACATGTTCGAAGTACACATGCTTGGAACCCGCTTAATTCGGTCATCATGTCTGCTGCGAACGCTGTGTCTTCTGCGTAATGTATGTACAGTGGGACTGTCTTTGCTCTGAACGCCACCAACCGTTCATCAGCACCGTGGGAAGACAGTGTGTCATTTCATCGCTTCCCCGAAGAAAGTCAAGCCTCTGGAAGCTCGCTTACGCCAACGCATCGCCGTAGGTTCGAAACGTGGAAGATATGATCCGGGGCAAACCATTTTGAGTCCAGTGCTCGCTTGCTGATGCCCCAGAGTTGTGCTTTGAGCTGGCACATGGCACGGCATGATCTGTTTTAGACCACCATATTTGCTTGATAGCGGCGTTCCCTGTGGGTCGCTGGAGTTGCGAACAGCTAAACGTCTAACCTTACTGCTTCTTGCTGTCTTCGTTTTCGTTACCAGCTGCCCGCGATGCGAAGACCGTCATGGTTCTAAGCACGTTCAGCCACACCTCGATTGAAGACGTGCGGAGCGCGGTCCCGGATGGGCTTCTCTGGTTCCAGACGTGCATCTACGAGGATCGAGATTTTACCAAACATCTCGTGGAGCGCGCCGAACGAGCGGGCTACAAGGCGCTGTTACTCACTGTGGACATGGCCGTTCCTGGACAATGGAAAGCAAAACGCAAAACAGTTGCCGCAAGCTTAATCGATCTGCCAAAGTACGTATACGCACTGAAACGCGTACTCTGCATGCGCACTGAAAACACATTTGGACACGTCACCCTCCCGTGAAATGTCCAAATGTGTTTACCACAATTAGCGGTGCGAACACTGAACAGTCTCATTGTGGACATTGTAGCGTGTTGAAAAACTATATATACTACGAAAATTGGTGCTATTGTTACTATTTGAAAGCCTTTTTGGCTCGGTAAGTGTCCAGGACTTTCCGTGTGATAAGGTGGTTGGTTACATTATATACAGTGTAACAGTGCTAGAAATAAGTGTTTTTTTCTAGCATTGGATGTGGGAAAACAATAGTTTTAAAAGTGCGCGCCGCATCTATACTCCGTTTCACGATCACGATAACTTGGCGAACTGTGGAGGCTAGAGCCCCGCGACCCAATCAGAACGTCGGAGCGAGGCACATGACCTGACGTCACGGAAGCATCTGTGTCACCACGCCAAATGCGAGGCACGAGGCCCGGAGGAACCGGCTGTCGTCTGCCAGCCAATAGTTGTCCGCTCCGAAACCAACCATCTTCGGATGAACGTCCACTGCAGCAACATGCCCGTCCGCTAGAATAGCGAGCACTTCGGGAACAGTTCATGAGACAACCATGCGCTCAATTTAGCCGCCAGTCTGTGACGGGTGCTAATGCCAGGGCACAGTGCGATATTTTGAGCGAAAACGGCCGACTACACGGCTGCGATCGCCGGCAATCACCAACGGCCACGGGCCACGGAAATACAAGGCGAAAAAAAAAATCGAGAGGATGCGGATGTAGCGTCACTTTTTTGGGTTAAATATAATTGAGTACTTAGGTTTGCGGGTTTTGGACGCGGCACAGCAGTTTACTGGAGGTTCGGGCATTTGAACGCACGCTCCTGGCTTTGTTTTTGTGAGAAGATTAATTTCGCAAATTCACGGCTTCTGCGGTCTGAGCAGAAGGATGAATAGCGCTGGTATAATCTCGCGCGTGTTTCTCCTTCGTTTATCTTCTTAGCCAAATAAACCTCAAAGCTGCCATTTCGAACTTTTTTTTTTTCGATGCTTAAACTAATATTAGAAGAATAACCGTACCCTAGTAAAGCATATTTTAAATTTGTTGTTATCGCGTAAAATTCTCACGGCTAAAACATAATTATGGAACGATACTACCGGCCATGTTTTACAGCACATCCTCGGTAGCTTTTTTTGGGTAGAGACAGGTAACTATTATTCCCTTAAATGCTTCATTTGGGACATGCGCCCTTGCATCGGCTATTTATATCCTATTTTCCTTTCGTTTCGCAGAATGGCCAACCTCATAGGCACCTCCATGAATCACTACGCGGATCGCAGAGGCGGCGGTTATGGCGGCATGATCGACGCCTCGGTGACCTGGGATGATGTCACCTGGCTCAAGGGCATCAGCAAGTTGCCCGTTGTGGCGAAAGGCATTCTGACAGGTACACGCGCTTCTCTCCATCATCTCGAGAAGTGATTGGTGCGGCATAGCCTCCTATATACTGACAAAGCCTGGCAGCTCGCCACGTGGAGCGGCCGCCGAAATGGAAAAGGTGGAGCGGCAAACAACGGATCAGAGGGGAACCACGTGATTGGCGCCCCACTGCGGCGAGACACCGAAACACGCTTCTCCCGAGCGAACAAGTGTGTCTCAAGTCCCCGCCACTGCAAAAAGCAGTGCGCTGACGTCCAGGTTCCCCGATAAATGACTCTTTGATTGTCTGTGCTACCAGATCATCGCGCTCCAAGTCTGCGACCGGGCAGTCTATGGCTCCGTCGTCGAACTGCCAGGCTTTTTCAGTTAGAGGAGGCCATGGCTGCGGTAGGTGGGCTCTCCAAACGCTAAAGGTCGGTACGCACGCACTCGCGTCGGTCGCGTTCAAAGCGACCGAAACGACAGCAATGACCCAGTGACCGGGACCTACTGTTCTCCATACAGAACGTGGCAACCGATGCAGCGAGTAGCTTCTAGGACCATGGCACGAGTTACAGTTCTCCCGCCGACTGTCCCGGTTGTTTCTGTCGTTTCGCCCGCTGCGTGTATACAAATGTGCGAAGCAGGCTGAAAGCCGCAGTCGCGTTGCGCTAGTACGTTGCATAGAAGGGACACGGTGTCGTACAGCAGAGATGTATACTACAGAATCATCTGCGGATACGCCACAAACTGATTCGAAGCACGTTTGCTTCGAATAACGTTTGTATGCTTTGAACATTTCTGCAGACAGTTTTTTGTACGACCAATGCGACCGCCATTAAAAGGAAAAAGCACGCCTCATGCAGCGTCTCCAGACTGTTTTTTTACGCTGTGTATACATTAGCGTGTGCACAGCGTTGGCCATGCACGAAAACCGACCGCAGACATGTCCGAAGCGTACCAATGTACCGAGCAAAAATGCATTCAACAAGCTTGCGTGTATGTTTACACGTGCGCGTATGTAAAAGCACGTGGGTGCGAGCAAGGACGCGAGTTGTTTTTGAGTCTGTGGTAGAATGTGGGCGGCGCACATAGGCTGCCTGCTCGCTGACGTCAAAACGGGCGAAACGATGTTTCAGTAAACAACAATTGGTCTAGTTTTTTTTTTATTTTTGCTTTTTAAGTTTTGGCTTATTCCTCGCTATTAAAATTCCATCTTAGTGCATTGCACACGTCATAGGTCCGTGTGGTAAGCGGTACGAAACCTCGCTCGTGCGCTTACCGAGGTTTCCCACAACAGCTGCTTGTTCTGCTTTCGCTCGAATAGCCATTCCTGGGCTGGAACTAAAATAACAAAAACTTCACCTGTTGCCTTTCCTGCGCTATTCTTTTTTTTTTTTAAGCTCAATTCGAGGGTGTTATAAATACCAGCTTGCCATGGCGGTGTAACGCGTGACAGTTGCTCATTAAGCAAGAACAAACAAATGTAAACTAGGTCTACTCGTAGACCTTGGCTTGTGAAGGTCTAAAAGCTGGAACACACGTGAAAAGAACCAAGCAGAAATCATACAAATAATTAAAGATTAAAAAAAAATGTGTACATTAGTATAGTCATGGATGAAGAAAGAATAAAACAACTAAAACTGGGTCAACACAACCACATTTTTCATCATATATGACCACATTTTTCATCATATATTCATATCAAAGATGCGGTTGTGTTGTCCCAGTTTTAAATGTTTTATTCTTTCTTCCTCCATGACTTGAACCAGCACGCTCTTCTCCCAGGCATTAGTATAGGATAGAACGAAGCACCTACGCGTGGGAATTTATTCTTCACAAATATTTCATTGCCACGCGCGTCGGCGAGCAAGGGCATGCGTGGCCGAGGGGTTACCGCACATGATTCTTGTGCGGTAGCCCATGGTTCGATTCCTGGGAGCGCCGCGTCTTTTATTTTCTTTCAATCTAGATTTCTTTTAATTTCGAGAACCGTGTTGCTTGTTTTAGGCTAGGATGTTCTATGCGCCGAATCTTCTAGGCCGATTGATCCAGAAGTCCACTCGTGTACAAAAGGGGCCCCTGTGGCGAGCCGGAGTCAGTTTCGCCCCAGCGCTCGATCCTGCGGTTTCGCCGACATCAACGCCCGCGACGCTCTGCTGTTTTCTTCTGTTTCCTTTTTGTTTTGGCACAAGTTCGCCCCATTAAGCGTTTAGTTTCTTCAGTTATCATCGCCTCACCAATTGTCATTCGCGACATTTTGGTGGAGGTGCGGGGTATTCCATTCTATGGCCGTTAATCGTACCCCTCCAAAAACATCCCGGCCAAGTGACGTGCTCAGCCCCGGAAGGCTACCCTTCGCCGAAGAAGCCGAAGCCCGAAAAAGCCGTCGTACCAAAGGTCAGTCCCCTGAATTGGGTCTGCTGCCGGACAAGCCCAGGCTGAAGAAGACAACGATGGCCAATCAGTCGCAGACCCCGGCCGCTCCTGCCTTCATCTACCTGCCCGTCGCACCCCGGACTCCGACGCCTTTCCACGGGGACGTCCACGAAGACATCGAGGAATGGCTGCAACACTATGAACGTGTGGCCCGTCATAACGGGTGGACACCTGAGCAGTGCTTGCAGAACATCTACTTCTCGCTCGAATCGACTACGAGGTACTGGCTGGAGAACCACGAGGCTTCTTTAACTTCGTGAGAGGTGTGCAAGCAAGAACGAAAGAAGACGTTTATCAGCCAGCACCGACGCAAGAGGGCCAAAGACATTTTTCGAACAAAAACCCAAGGCCCGAATGAAAGCATCACCAGCTTCGTCGAGGATGTTCTTCGGCTGAGCGCCCGCGCCGATCCTCAGGCTACAGAGGAGAAGAAGCTGCGACACCTGATGAGGGGTGTGAAAAGCGAGATATTCGGCGGTCTCATTCGCAATACCCCGACAACCGTCAACGGGTTCGTCACGGAGGCGACGAATATGGAACGTGCCCTACTAGCACGGGCGCCAGACACTACGAGCGACGCCCTGGCGTAGCTACTCTGGCGACATCCGGATCCGACGTTGGTACCGACCTTCCCGGCATCCGTGACATCATCCGTGAAGTCGTGCAGAAAGAAATCCGCAGGATGCTCCCCGTTGCGGATCGCCCGTCCTCAATTTCGCTCGCCGAGGCCGTCCGAGAAGAGGTTCGCCGAGCCTTAAGCCAACCTGAAGTTCCGATCAACACGACGACGACACCAGAGGAACCGACATTGAGCTACACCGCCATGGCACGACGTCCACCGCAAGCCAACCGCCAGGCCACGGCGCCACCCCTCCGAGACCCTCCGAGACCGCAGTATCCTCGACGCCAGGAAGGATAAGTCCAGGACGTCCGTCCGGAGCGACCCTCGCCGAGGAAGACCGTCGTGTGGAGAACGGCCGATCGACGGCCGTTTTGCTACCACTACGGGGAGGCCGACCATATCTACCGCCGTTGTCCCTACCGGCAAATGGGGCTGCGTGGGTTCGACCCGAACGATCCACGCCCGAGGTACGGCGAACGTCCTCATGACATCGAGGAGTACCTCCGACGCTCGCCTCCCTTAGCTCCGTCTCTCCGCCGTGAGTACCGCTCACCATCGCCACGACGTTCAGCGTCTCCAGCTCCCCGACTTCGCCGAGACTCTTCCCTGCGTCGCCGGGAAAACTAGGTGCGGCAACGCCCGGAGGTGGCTTTGCTGAAAACGACCGAAGCAAAGAGCCTCCAAGAACGCCGGAGCGCTCCCGCTCGCCCGACGCCCCACATTGCAACGACGACCCTGCAACGGCGTCCGACAACCTAAACGTTGTTATCGGCAGCCACGACGCGACGGCACTTGTCGACACCGGAGCAGACTACTCCGTTTTGAGTGGGAGACTCTCTCGCCGCCTTCGAAAAGTGACAACGCCGTGGGATCGACCTCCAATAGGAACCGCCCGAGGGCACCTCATCACACCAGTCGAGAGATGCACTGCTCGCGTCGAGATCCACGGTGAGACGTGCCTTGTGAAGTTCGTCGTTTTGCAAGACTGTTCGAGGGGCGTTATCTTCGGAATGGACTTTCTCTGCGAGTATGGCGCCGTCATCGACCTCGGGGCCAACCAGCTAACGCTGCGAAACCCTGTTTCGCCGCCGGTGGAGACTAACACGACGTCAACCGCGATCTGAGGTATCGCCGACCATGTGAACCTACCGCCGCGGTCGAGTGTTGTCGCCACCGTCATAACCGACGCAGCCATGCACGGTGAAGCTCTTCTGGAAGGCAGCGTCCAACTGCTCCCTAAGAAAGGAATTGGCGTCGCACGAGGCGTAACAGATCTCCAAGAAGGACGTACAACTGTTCTTGTGACAAATCTCCGAGAGGAGCCGCAGCACCTAACGAAGGGCACCTAGGTGGGCCACTTCGAAAAGCTTCAGGCGCCAGCCGTGGTCACCGCAATCTCCGAAGAAACCTCGTCGTCACAGCAAAACGGCACATCGCCGCCGCCGCTCGACATCGGCCCCGAGCTCCCAGCTCCTAAGCGCCGGCAACTGGTTGATCTCCTCGCCGAATACAGTGACTGCTTTTGCCACGTAGTTGAAAGTTCGCCAAACACCAACGGCGAAACATTGCATTATTACCGACAACTACGCGCTCTCTGTCCACCAGTCGCCGTATCGAGTCTCCTTAAAGGACAGGAAGGTGATTCAAGATCAAGTGCAGGAAATGCTCGACGACGACATCATTCAGCCCTCAAGAAATTCATGGGCGTCCCCAGTCGTTCTTGTAAGGAAGAAGGACGGAACTCCGCGGTTCTGCGTGGACTATCGTCGATTGAACGCTTTGACGAAGAAGGACGTCTATCCGCTGCCCCGCATCGACGATACGTTAGACCGACTGCGCCACTCCCGGTATTTTTCGTCGAATGACCTGAAGAGTGGTTACTGGAAGATTGAAGCCGACGAACGTGACCGGAAGAAAACTGCCTTCGTCACTCCCGACGGACCGTACGAATTCAAAGTGATGCCGTT